CCAACCGATCACACCGCTCCCCATCATTTTATGCCTTAAGTGAAATATTCCGTCTCTCTCTGATGATAACCTCGTCCACCCGCATTATGACGATTTTGAAGAACAGACCACGTCTATTCACATTCGCTCCTTTCACACTAGCCATGTAGGTCATTTTCTTCCCCCCTAAAATTCACCATTGTGTGTGTGTAAGGTACCGGCATAGGATGGGCGGTTGGAGTTTCAAATTTGCCTGCTTCCATCGTACTATCAGGGACAGTTTTTATCATCCGTGAGTCACCGTCCACGCCGCTTTGTGTCGAAAGCATTTTCCCAAGACACTGGCACTGATGTCGCTGCACACTGAAGTACAGTGGCACCTCTACTTGCAAACGTCTCTTCATACTAAAATTTCAAGTTATGAAACACCTCAACAGGAAAATATTGCCTCTTGGTATAAAAGATATTGCATACGGTAGGGGCTGCTACTCGCAGCTCCGCGTTTCCTGAAGGCAACATACTTAAAGCTGCTCTCCCATTGGCTAATACCTAGCATCTTCCTGGCATCCCATTGGCTAAGAAGGACCTCGTCCGCATGTGTCTGTGTGTGTAGATAGAATGTGTCTGTGCAGCGTCCTCGTTATTCGCCCTTCGGGCCATTAGGCATCCCGTTTGTTTGATGTCAATTTGAATAACCCAGAAAAAATTTTCACCAGTCCAACGATCGCTCACTATGCGAATGTTTGCCTTGGACATTTTCGAAGGATTGTTAAAAGCCGACAAAAGCAAACCTCCTTGGATCAGTTCTTTACAAAAGGCCAGACAAAACCCACTTCTGAGAGAGAACATGAACCGAAAAAACGATGAGGACAATGAGTTCAAAATTCATTGGCCATCATTTTTATTTTTGATTCAATTCTTTGTTTTTTTACATTTTCCACAACTCTCATTTATTGCGCAAAAATCTAATTGTAACATGTATTTGTTGCATATTTTGATGCATGTTTATGCTTTAGAAAACATTTATGTCCGAATTTTGGGAGGGCTTGGAACGGATTAGGGCATTTACATGGAAAATGCGTCTCTACTGACAAAATTTTCGAGTTTAGAAATTTCTTACATAACCAATAAATTTCGTAAATCGAGGTACCACTGCATCTGAATGCGCCAAGCCCCAACGACCGAAGGTGCCAGTGTGCCGCTTTGGTGAGGGCTGTCTAAAAGGTACAGGCAAATAAACCTGTAAGGTGACAATTGGTCGACGACCGTCCAGACGTATGATGTTTTGTGGGTCTGGACAGAATGAAATGAACGACATTGGGCACTCTAACCAAAGACGTGAAAGAATTTCCGTACTTTGGAAATTATCACCGCATGCGTTCACGCTCGTGATAAGCCGACGAGTGCTCCGACTTGCGTACAAAATCGCGTTACAGCAATGTCGTTGGAATGGAACGTCATCTATCAACAGTGGAACCCCCGATCAACAGTGGAACCATCCTCCCAAAACTTTCGGTGCAAAAACAAGTCTTACAAAATTTCAAAACATTGCACCTTCAGCAAAATTCAAGCATTTCGTGATCATAACAATCCAAATATCAGCTTGTGAAATCCTGTAGCAACAGTAAATTCACACATACTCTACGTCCTCATTCAGACACCGAGGACAAGGTCAGTTTCTGGTTCTTCAGATGCCATTTGTGGCGTGTTTTCATGAAATGCCGGAGAGTAAAAGTGTTCGTACATGGTTGTCACTGGAGTCAAGATGTGTGAAAAAGATTCCAAGCCTCTGCAGCCCATCTGAGAGTAAATGGGGCCAACCCCGGCCCAGCTGCACTTGCACTTCAGGCTAAAACTCTGTGTGACCCGTCTGATTCAAATCTCAATTTTATCCCCGTGTGAGGGAAGAGCAGCCACACTAAACTTGGAGGGATTTGCCGTCATCCCAAACCCTCTTTATCTGATGAATCCACCTGCTAGAGAGATTTGGGAGATTTCGGACGGCAGCCAGCCATGACGCTCGTCATCAGCATCAGCCGGGCTCCGAGCGCCACATGTTCTGGTTCGAACAGCTGAAATGAGAGGACGGCTATGCCGGTGTTTTCCACCGTGTGGGTGTTGCGCTTCATTTCAGCTTCTCCCCGGGTCTCAGCCTTGCGGGGGCAATTTTGGCCAAACGATGGCCCTCGCGCCCCCAAAACAGGCAGTCGCTACTAATCCATCTCTATCCCAGCGTAATCCCCGACAATCCTGAGCTAATCCCAAGTAGATTCAGGGGCACTCCCAGCTGGGCGTCTCGCACAGAGCCGCGCCAGGTCACCGTGGATGCGGCGGGCAAGCCCGGATATGCCGGGATTCGGTAGCGACGCCGAATATTAACGTGGAAACGATGCTATGGAATGGGATCGTTCCACTTCCGAGGGTGTTTCCAAAAACCTTGACATCATTTGAAATCGGAGTGTGGCCCTGGTAAATAATCTTAAATGAGCTTCATGTTGGAAAAACATCAGACGTCTCAAAAATTCCAACAGATGTAGAATTCCGCAAAGCTTCACTCATGTTCAATATTTGCGTTGCAATCACTTTTTGCCTTCCGTGCCAGTATAACGCCACCATCAGATTCTGACCCTGAATTACGAACACTGAATTTTATCCATCTATCCATCCATTTTCTGAACCGCTTTATCCATACAAGGGTCATGAGGGGTGCTGGAGCCGATCCCAGCTGTTTTCGGGAAGTAGGCGGGGCCACCCTGAACCTGTTGCCAGCCAATCGCAGGGCACACACAGAGACGAACAACCATCCGCAATCACACTCACACTTAGGGACAATTTGGAGTGTTCAATCAACCTGCCATGCATGTTTTTGGAATGTGGGAGGAAAGCGGAGTACCCGGAGAAAACCCATGCAGGCACGGCGAGAACACGCAAACTCCACACGGGAAGGCCGGAGCCGGGATCGAACCCACAACCTCTGCACTGTGATGTTGACACA